TGTGAGCCAAAACTCGCACAACCAAAGATTTGTAAGGAAAAACTAAGGGATCCGAAATTTCTAGGGTAATCGCAAGAACAGTAAGATCAAAAGAAGGTTTTGTTTGCTGTGAAAGTGTTTAGGTCTTATTGCTCTCGAGTTGTGAAAAGTTACATAATGAATCGTAGAGATATCCTATTTATACTAACTTCTTAAACCGCCTAGCCAAGAATCTCGGGAGAGATTTTCGGAATATTTCCCTATCGTTTCGTGCGGCCACCGTCATAATACTTTGCTTAAGGTTTCTATGGGCTTTCGTCTTTCAAAGCCTCGGTTCGGCCCAATTGTGGAAGAAATCAGCTCGACTCATTCTCCTTCTTATGCGGCTCGGCCCATCTGCTTTCTCGCACGGCTCGGCCCCTTCACTCTCTTGCACAGTTCGGTCCATCGAACATCTCTCGCGCGGCTCGGTTCACCTACCTCCTCCTTACGGCTCGGCCCGTTCACAGCTCGGCCCATTCCTCTCGCGCACGGCTCGGTCCACTCGTCTTGGTGAGCACGGCTCGGCCCATCTGTTTCGTGGAACAGCTCGGCCCATATTTGGTGGGTAGTTGTTCCTTCTTGCCGTATCAGTTTTCTCCAATACTTAATCATTTTTTAGATGGTTTTATCCGCTTGGGGTGAAACCGACCCCAACAAGGTCCTTGAGGAGGACTACGTTCGATTCCACCTCTTGAAGCTCAGCCTCGTACGCCGCCTCATTCTTGTTATTTTCCCATTTGTCCTTAAAAGAGTGAAAAAAATGACCAAGTACCTTTCCGCAATTCCCGCTTCGCAGCTCGAACAGCACGCCTAGCCTCCTCAATCCTCTGCACCCTTGCAGCGAAGTCGTCAGCACGACGAGCAGCAGAACTCGCCGATGTCTTGGCCGCGCGGAGCGGAATGTCCAGGCGTTTTTCCTTCTCTTCGTCGCTCTTGACCTTCAAAGAAAGATTGAACACAGTCTTCTTCATCTCCTCTAGCTCATCGAAAGTAGGCATTGCCAGGGATCGGTTCTCAAGCACGGCAGAGTACTCATTGCTAGCCTCAAGAGCCTAACCAAGAAAAAAATAAAAGTCTGTAAGTACAATGGGACATCAAACCAATGAGTTGGCCATCATCTTGATGTAGGTTGCACGCTCCACCATATCCCGTACCGGAGGCAGCACGCAGCCTAAAGGTTTGAGTTTCCGAAACAGGAAGGCCACTCCCTCGGAGTCGTCGGCAATAGGACAGCCCTTAGTATGGGATCGTGCCTCCCGACCCATTTGAAGCATTTGACTTCCTTTCCGAAGTCCGATCCTCCACCCTTGGTTTCTTGGGCCGAGAAGTATTTTCTGTCTCCTGAGAGCTGATGGAGACAGTCCGATGCATTGGATCGATGGGGAAACCTACAGCTGGATTTTCGTAAGCTCCGGAAACCTGCTCGAATGCCTCGTTCACAGCCTCCCAAATTTGGCTAGTTTGAACAGATCCAGAGCTCCCGGCTGGAGCCTTGCTCTTCTTTGCTTTCTCGGCTTCGCGAGCTGACGGTCTTCAAGGCATGTCTCTTCAGGGGCGTTGAATCAGAGGTCGAGAATTGCTTGAAGAAGAAGCATTGGGAACATCCTGATTCTCGGTATCTAAGAAAAGATATCCAACCGTAAGGCGTCACAACAAAGTGAAAACATGGTTAAAACAAAACAGAGAAAGACTCGAACTCACAAATTGGGATTCGATGAAAATTGGCCGGACGACTAATTGAGGGCGGATTTAATGGATCGATCTCGAAGTTCGGAGCAACAACTGGATTCGGGGGAATAGCGGGATCGGCGGCAGCAGTCTGCAGAGCGTTCCGAATCCTCTCCTTGGTAAAGTTATGCCACGAGCAATCACCGTCTCGCAGAGTCCTCAGCAGCGCGTTATCTTCGTCAACCTTTGGCGGGATAACTGTGAAACAAAAAGGAGGCAAAAGGTTAGTGAAGCGAGCAACTAAGGATAAGAACTATCCCTAGATGCCTAATGCTAACCAACTTTTGGAGCCCCGACAGTGGGCAAGCGGCAAAAATCAAATGATCCGACCGAATGATCATTAACCCTAAAAAAGAAATATTTTTCTTTCCAGCGGTCATCCCGAACTGGATATCCTCAAAAATGCTACGCTTCTTCCGCGGTGACAGATAGAAAGACCCCAAGAACGTCGAATTGTTCTTAATAGAGCACATCTTGAGAAGTTTGTCGATACCGAAAGGGATCCCGGAATCCGTCGCCCTCACCATCAAAGCTAGCGCATGGCGGACGAAATTAGGGTTTATTTGTGAAAAAGCAAATTTCAAATCCGCCAAGATCGTAAGAAGGCCGGCCGAAATCGGAAAATAAAATCTGCAGCCATCAAAAAACGGGGTGTACGCAACACAGTAGCCCACACAAACTGTCTTTGGCGTCTCTCCTCTATCTGGAACAACGAGATCAATCGCGGCCAGAATGTCATGAACCCGTCGGAAACGGTTCAACTCGGCCAAAGAAACGATCGAGATAGTCGAGATATCAGGGTGTTCCATCAAAAAACTAAGAAATCGACGAAAAAAAGCAAGAATTTTTCTCGAAGAGTTTTCAGAGAAGAAAAGATGTCTCGAACAGAAAGATAAAACCTTTTCAAAGCAGGAAAATAAAAGAAGGAAAGGGTGAAAAGTTACCTTGATGCAAAGTGGGGAATCATGCAGTTATGATGAAACGTGGGGAGTTGGTTTAATACGCAGTAATTATTGTTGTTTTCGAGATCACAAAAATCCCTCGTCTCCTCAAATCTGAGCTGTTCATCTCGCTGCGCACTAAAGATTTGGCTTTATCACGATAGATTCGAGTCTATCACGTCAAGGTGAGAAGTTAAAACCGTCAAAATTCCTAATGAATCTCAGCCGCCCATTCATAAGATGGGAAATCTGTGTCATACGAGTGGGGCCCGCTCAGTGAAGAATCCCAAACAACGCGCAAAGGCGGGGATTTCAAAAGATCCCCATAAAGAAGTTCGCCCCTTTAGTTCAAAACCTCACTAAACGGGCTGGGGGAGGGGGGCAATTGTTGGTGTTGGATTTAGTCCAAATCCATCCACACCGCAAACAGACTATTACAATGGTACTCTGGGCCTTCAAACTCACAAACATGGGAGAATTGGCATCTTCTGGGAATATGCTCAACACAAGGCGGACTAAGAAAACAAGGAGATGTGGATAAGTGAAGATCTCGGAGAAAAGGAGAACGTATCAACCGCAAACCTCGGAGTCGTTCGGCTCGGCAAGCTCCTATAAATAGGAGTTTAACACATTGTAAAATTCATTCAATTCTGAGCCAAAATAGCATTTTGTAAACTTATTCTTATCAATATAAAGTCTAATTCGTCGAATCTTGTCTTCTCTTTTATATCGATCTTATTGAAGTTTTTGCCCAAAATCTTCCACACAAAACCAACACACTAAATTCTTGAATGTGGATTTTAAGATCCACAAGGAGTTGGTGGAACAGCTGAAGACATGGAGAAAGAAGAAGTTATATCTAGCCTTTTGTAATGTCGAGTATAAACAGTGTAGTAGGTTTAAGTTATTAGAAAGTTGTTGCTTTTTCATTCCATGTATAAGTCTAGAATCTTGTCTTGTAATCGATTACAACTTGATGAAAATGAAAAAGACAATATGTTCAAGCTATTTGCTCTCTCTCTTTCTAAACAAACAATGAATAAGATCAAAACAGAATACTCTGTTTTGAGAAGAAAAACAACACAATCATATCTGATTCTTTTATCAGGCTATTCCTCTTTATCACATTTTGATACGAATTACATAAATGTATGGTACAACCTAAGCCTAGATAATGGAGATGCAAGAGAATTTGCAATTATCACATTTTACAGGAGCACTTGGAAAAATCGTTTATACGAGCTTCCCACCAACAGAACCGGCTTGACTCTGCTCTGAAACCGGGCGATATTCAGGTTTTTGGTGTTATCTCATTTTATTATCGATCCCTATATATTGCTTGTCAATCCACAAGTTTCAATTCATATTGAAATGCATAATTTTATATTGCAAAGGTTGCAGTTTTTGAAGAAATTGTCAAGGGGATGAAGCTAAAAAATAAAAGAGTATACATCACAAAAGTTCTGTAATGCATTTTTCATTTATGTCCTTTAAGTATGATTAGTTTGCTCAATCTAGTTTTGGATCAAAATCGTAGGAAAGTGCAATGTCAAATCGGGCTGACATTGTGTTTATACCACCTAGTTTTGAGGTTTCAACTGAGAAAACCTATTAGGTGATATCCTGTGGTTTTATGATTTTGTTTATGTCAACAGTTTAGCTTATAAACTTTTAGCCTTCTAAAGTATAATTTTGTTTGACATCTTGCTATTAAGTTCATTATAAAATGAAGATCTTAATACATATTTTAGTGGTTTTTGTTACTTATTCCATCATGTAGTTTACCTATGCTAAATTGTAGATGAAGAAAAAAAATGCATAATCGATTGCATTTTTGTTACCAAGAAGAATCGTTTGTAAATAAACTAGTTCTAATAGGAATTTCAGTGTATGCAATGACAAAAATATCTAAGATCTATAGGTTTTTAGCATTTGGAAATCAAATTACCAATCTAGCTCTGGTTTTCCAAGCATTCATAGGCAAGTGGTATCATTCTATATGAGCATTCTCTTAAAATGTAAAACTAAATCATTTTGCCAATGAGATGGGCCTTTCCTTAATAAACCCAAAATAAAAAAGGATACATATGAAATCAGGTAAAGTAGAAAAAGGATACATATGAAAAAGGATACAATGCAAAGTAGAAAAAGTCTCTTATGTCTGAGGGCCCCGCATGATCGAGATTCTGTGGCGAAAAGTTCATACAAAGACACATCAAGATAGGTTCATGACGTGGCATGATCTCATTGGCTGTAAATCCGTTTTGGATAATGAAGCATCTGTGGAAAACACAAACAACAAGAGTTTTTCGCAGTCCCAATGGTGTCTCATCTTCAATGTATGGCATCAACATTGTTTACTTGAGGAACAAGCAAAAGAAAAGCCCTAAGCTCGCCGACCTCCTCTAATGGCTTCGAGCTCTACTTCATTCCCCTTAGCCACCGCGCCACCGCAGGGTGCAAGATTTAACCGTAGAAAACCGGGTCTAACCGTGTTGGCCGCCAAACAGACCGGTTTTCAGCTCGGGAAAACCAAGAGCGATGACTCGGAGGGAAAGCAAACAGAGAAATCTCCAGGTTCGAACCCATTTCGGTTCGATTTCGGTAAGTTACCGGACATGAAGTCGTTGATACCGGTGGTTACGAACCCTTCGACCGGTTTAGCGTTTGGAAACACCAGAAGAAAAGATCCCGGTACGGTTTTCGTGGCCGGTGCTACGGGACAAGCCGGTATACGAATCGCTCAAACGCTCTTGCAACGAGGATATAGCGTCCGAGCTGGCGTTCCTGATCTTGGAGCCGCTCAGGACCTCGCTCGTGTGGCGGCTACTTATAAGGTCTCGGCTTTTAATAGTGTCAATTGACAGTGATGACAAATTACGCCTTTATTTTAGCAATTTTTACGTTTTGTCAAATTTTCGATTTTCCTAGTATAATACACAAAGACATGCGGTGCCCAATTCGGTGGCGTTTAGCGTTTTGGTTAATCGTGATCAGCTTTTCAACAGATTCTATCAAAGGAAGAGGTCAAGAGGCTAAACGCTGTTCAATCACCATTCCAAGACGCCGAATCAATCGCCAAAGCCATTGGAAACGCGACCAAACTCGTGGTTACTGTTGGGGCGACAGAGAACGGCCCGGACGCTCAAGTCTCGACCTCAGACGCGTTACTCGTGGTCCAAGCTGCTGAGCTCGCCGGCGTAAGCCACGTGGCAATCGTCTACGACGGTAGTAGCGTCAACGGATCAACGTACAACGTGCTCGACGGGATTACTTCCTTCTTCAGCAACTTGTTCTCTCAGTCTCAGCCGTTGACTATCTCTGACCTCATCGAGAAAGTAGCTCAAACTGACTTGGCGTACACGCTAATTAAGACGAGCTTGACGGAAGATTTCTCGCCGGAGAGAACTTATAACGTCGTCGTTTCAGCTGAAGGAAGTAACAGCGGTAACGACAGCAGTTCGTCCGAGGCCTACAAAGTAATGTAATGTATGCGTTTAAAAAGGGATTTATCATACATTACATTGAAAAAGGAATCGTTTGCTTATAAAAATGCTTTCAATTAACTGGTATTTCTGTTCTGATTGCTATCAGGTCCCAAAGTTGAAGATCGCGTCGCTGGTTGCTGACATTTTCGCTAACACGGCAGTGGCAGAAAATAAGGTAGCTTATAACACAAGTAACCTACTCATCAAGGGCAAACATTGTAGCCATTAACGTTTGTATTTGTACTTTAAAAATTGATGATTTCAGTTATGTGTGTGTGTGTGTGTTTTCTTTTTTAGGTGGTGGAAGTTTCTACAGATCCATCAGCACCGTCGCGGCCAGTGGACGAGCTTTTCAGGTAAATGCTCTACAAATTGTTCTTCAATCTTGTTACTTACTTCAAAAAGTCATTGTTGTATTGCTAGTATTGTTATCATGATCTTAAACCTAGCGAATTGGGGTTTAAAACCATTCTCTATAGAGAGTTTGCGTCAACTTATTTTGATGAAATATATATACTATCTGTGATAGTGTGATTCCGGAAGACGGGAGGAGGAAAGTGTATGCAGATGGGATCGCAAGGGCAAAAGCGGAAGAAGAGGCGAAAGCCGCTGCTGATAAGGCCCGAGAGGCAGCAGAAGCAGCAAAAGAATTTGAGAAACAAATGCAGAAGCTCTCTGAGAAAGAAGCAGAAGCTGCAAGCTTAGCTGAGGACGCGCAGCAGAAAGCTGAGGCCGTGGGAATCACAGTGGACGGTCTATTTAGCAAGGCTAAAGATATAGGCTCGGGTTTATCCTGGAATAAACTCGGGTCTCAGATTGCTACCGCGGTTCAGAACGCTTCAGAGACGCCTAAAGTGCAGGTTGCTACGGTCAGAGGACAGGCAAAGGCTAGAAACTTGCCGCCCAAGAAAGCAGTGGTAAAACAGAGAAACGTGAACGTTAAACCCGCAGCTGCTGCGTTTGCGGCCAAACAGAAAGAAGAGCGCGTGAATAAGCCAGAGAAAGAGGTGAGGAAAGTGTTTGGAGGACTGTTTAAGCAGGAGACCATCTACGTCGATGACGACTGAGAAAGTCATATGCCGTTTTGGATTTCCGTACAGTTCTTTTGTCTTTCCTCTGTTTTCAAGTTAAATTTCTGTAATCATATTTATAAATCCATTGTTCTCTCTTTGAAGCCTTATGAGAACGAAACTAGTAAATTTGATTTGCATCAAAAAAACAATCTGAAACAAATCACATTACATTTCCATATTATTGAACTCGACATTTGGAGTGATTTCAGTTATAATAAGATTTTAGAAGGTGTTATACTGTTATTCATTTATGTTCCCTCTTTATGAAAATTTTTGATTTTCAAATCTAACATTTAAATTTAAATTAATATTTGTAAATCTGAAGATATTCTCTCGGATTTAATGGGTTATTAGGATTTAGATTTATGCAAATTTTTAGTGTTTAAGATTGTACTGTTACTGGTTTGTGGATTAGTACATTCTTACTAGATTCAATTCTTATTCATTTGACAGTTTATTTGGCAACCTCATACGTATTTGTGTGTTCTTAGATATTGTGGAACACCATAACATGAAGCCGCAAAACATTATTATTGGTGCTGGATCAGTCGTTAAGGTAAACTAACCTTTCTTTTTCTGCATCCAGGAATTATTCTTGAAATGCTGGTTTCTATGGCTCCCATACACATCAGTTGTTGATATTTTGTTTCTTAAAGATGGAAAATGTGATAAGTTTAAAGTTACAATACGATTATTCTTGAAATTGATATATGATCCCTGTGGTCTCTCCGTGGGAAGCTCATTGAGTTGTCCTTTCATGTTATGAAAGCTATTGCAAATATTAATCTGATGATTGCGATGGTTTTTCTTTCATTGTTTCTGATTTTGCTTTATTCTTGTATTATACACATTTTAGTCTTAATAATCTCTTATGATACATCAGGTTACATGATGGTAAAAGCTCTCATTCGTCACGTTGTTAAAAGAGTAATGACAATTGCCTCACTAACGGTTGGAGAGTTCACTAAAGAAGAAACAGCAACCTGGAATCAACAGAATTAAAAAGAGAGCGACGGTTACTACAAGAACAAACCAACAAATTTGTCTCTTGGGGGTCCAAGAGTGTAGAGAGAGTTCACAAGTTTAGATACAAGAGTTCCATGAACTGATCTTTTAATTATGTACTTTCACTTTGTAAAACAGGTCCTTTGTATTATGTTTACATATAAATATAATAAAATATGACGAGGTACATAAAAACGAGAAAAAAAAATCTCAGTAAATAGTAATTTTAATGCAATTTACAGGATAATTCTACGAATTAATTATATATTTTGAAGTTTTTTATAACAAAGTACAATTGCTATTACAGAATACTTCATTGCATGGAAAAAATCGCTATATTAGATTAACACACTATAGCAATGCCAAAACCTT